CCCAGCGCCCAGCCAATCGCAGCAAGGCTGCGCGGCGGCCACAGCCAATGGGGAAGACAACCTCCCTTTGCCACGCCCTCCAAAGCTCGCTCTGACTTCAATCACGCCCGTCTTCCTCCTTGGGCCGCGCCCACTGCGGCCAGGACCAACCGGAGGGGCCTGGAGGCGGGATTTCCGCCGCACGCACGCACGCACACACGCACGTCTCCAGACTCCCCTCAGAGATCGCGGGGTCCCTGAGCGACCCTGGGAGCTGAAGGCGTCGTTACGCTGTCGCCGGCTGGAGGACTCGACGGCTGCGCCATGTCGGGCGGCCAGACAGACCCCTGTGGGGTGAGGACGCAGGGCGTTTGGCAGCTCCGTGCTGGAAGCGCTTCCTCTTGTCTGTGCCCCCCGAGGTGGCGCTGTGCAGGGACTCTGAAAAGTACGTGGTGCCGGCGGCTGCCAGGGGAGGCTGCCCTGAGGTCCCACCCAGCCAGTGTCAGCACCACGTAAGGAGTTTGAAGCAATCGGCATCATACCGAGTCCGTCTCTGAGGACCGTAAACTACTAACCAGGGCCCAGCAGCCGCCGCGGTGGTCACGGCGCTGGGCTCCCACGTGGCTGGTGGCAGTTCAGTCCGAGACCCACGGCTTCTCCCTCTGTCTTCCCGGAGAACCCAGGAAAGATGGCAAAAACCTGAAATTTAAAAAACAACTCGGGAACCAGCAGTTAGCGTAATGGCTATGTCGCTGGACTCCCACGTAGTCGACCGCGGTTCGCGTCCCGGACCCGGTGGCTTAAAACTCACGCCAGGCGCGTGTGCGTGCGTGCCCAAGATCCCGCGAGGAGAATGGAGGAGAAGGGATTGCAGCGTGACCATCCCCCCTGGGGGGTGATTTCTCGCTTTCTGTCTCTATGTCTCTCTCTGTCTGTCTGGCCAGCGCACGCGCCCTATAGTGAAAAAAAAAAAAAAAACAACTCTACCACAAACTGACAATGATAGAGGACAAACCACAAACGTTTGAAAATTAACACATCTAAAGAATCCTTGGGTCAAAGACGAAATCTCAAAGGAAATTAAATTTTAAAAAAATAATGTTTTTGACAGGGTGCAGTGCTCTCACCAGACAGTGAGACGGAAAGTGAGAAATCTCCCCGGGGTGGGGGGTCGGGGGGTGGCCACACCCCAGTCCTTCCTCCATCATCTTCCCCCAATCTGGGGTCACATGCGTCCAGCATGATTTTCAAGCCACCAGGTCCAGGACTGGAACCTCAAAGTCAGCCATTGGGGAGTCGGGTACCTTAACGACCTTCCCACTCTCTGGCCCCAAAATGTAAAGTATTTTTAACTGAATGAAAATTTAACATGTCAAAATGAATGGTAACTAAACCAGTGATTAAAATGTGTAGAACTGGGACCAGCAGGTAGCTAGAGGTTACATCCCTGGACTCCCACGTGGCTGACCTATGCTTGCAAATCATGCTGGGTGCATGTGTATGCGAAGCTGAATTCCCCCGAAGATGGAGAAAGGATCACCCACCGTGGTGTGGCCATACCCCCTGTGGAGTGATTTCTCATTTTCCTCTCACTGTCTCTCAGGTGAGTGCACACACCCTAAGGCAAAAACCTCTCAAATAAATAGATAAGTAAATAATAAAATGTATAGAACTAACTGGTTATATTAAAATAGAACATGGAGACTAAAATCAACAAGCTGGGACCAGCTACTGAATGACCTAATAGGTCACTGGTTCTCACCCACGTAATCAACTGCAGTTCAAGTCCAGGACCCGGCAGAAACTCACACATAGAGGGGAATGGAAGAGGAGAAGGCATTGTGGCTTGGTCATCGCCCCTGGGGGATGATTTCTCACTTTTCGTCTCTGGCGCCCTGTAGCAAAAATCTCAAATAAATAAAATCAACAAGCTAAGCTTCCATTTTAAGACACTGGAAAAAGAAGAGCAAAATGTACCCAAATCAAGCAGAGAGAAGGAAATAAAAGACTAGAAATAAAAGCAATTGAAAGCCAGCCTGTAGCACAGCAGTTCAGCGCTATATGTGGACAGCTGGATCCCACGTGACCTAACATGCTTTGAATTTCGGCTCCAGCAGCTTGAAAACCACACTGGGCACACCACATGTATGTTTGCGCACAAAATCCCAACAGGATGGGGAAATGGAAGAACAGGGAATTGGAATGCATCCATTAGGGGTGCTTGCTTTCTCTCTCTTCCCAACCTCCCCACTGGGAAGTGCACACACTCTCTGGTAATTAAAAAACAAGACGGGAGTGGCCAGTAGGTGGTGTGGCAGTTAAGATGCAGGACTTGTCCCAAAACCAGCATCTCTAAATGACACCAGGCACATGTGCACCTGTGCCCAAAATCCCAGGAGAATGGAGGAGAGGGGATTGTGGCGTGGCCATCCCCCAGGGAGGTGTGTGATCTCTCACTTTCCCTCTCCCCACCACACCCCGCCCAGTGTAGGTTCCCTATGGCAAAAATATGGAAAAAAAAAAAAGATGGAGCCACAGGTGGTTTGACCCCTAAGACACTGGATTCTCACATGGTCGACCATGATTCAAGTTCCAGACCCAATGGCTTGATAAATCACAACGAATGAATAAATGTTTAAAACAGAAGAACGGACAAATTATAGTACAGTCACATAATGAAATACTACACAAGGAGAAAAAGAGTAACAAAGCACCTAACAACATGGGTGACTATCGTGACATTTGATTGAGTGAAGGAACCAGGTCTGAAAGAACTCACTATGTGATCTGAGATCTGTACAAGTTCCAGGGGCCTGCTGGTGTCATGGTGGTTAGCGTGACTGATTTTACACGGCTGCCTTTGTGGTTCAATTCCCACACCTGGCACCTCAAGAACCCCTGGGAGCTCGTGTGTGCACCAAAAACTTGCAAGAGGAGAATAAAGGAGAAGGGATTACATGCGGTCATCTCCCTGGGAGATACTTTCTCACATTCCTTCTCGCTTCTCTCTCTAGCAAGGGCATGTGCCCTATAGCAACTCTTAAAAAGTTCAATAAGGCACAAAATTATAATGCAGTATAAAAGGCCTGTGCGAATTGTGTCTTTCTAGGTGACCCTGACCCACAAACTAAGGTGTGAGCTGACAGCCCGGATGACACCCTGGACTGCTGCTCCTGGGGCAGGCATTATCATGCTGTTTGCCCTCCTTCCAGTGGGACTTCTCCCTGGACTTGATAACAGGCGACATCTGCTTAGCCAATCCATTTCCCCTTGGGCTTACACACACTTCATTTTCACAACCAAATCTGCACCATAATCGTTTCACATGTAAAGACTTAAGTAGTTGTCCATTACTAAGGAAAGGTCGGGCCGGCAGGTGGTGTGGTGGTTAATGCCACTGGACTCCCACGTGGCCAACCACAGTTTGAGTCCTGGACCTGGTGGCTTGCTTTCTCACTTTCTCTCACTCTGTCCCCCTCTGATCAAATAATAAATAAACAGAGCTTAAAAAAAATAGTTTTACAAGATAGGGAGAGGTTTTTTTTAAAATTATTTATTTAACTTTATTTATTCATTCATTCATTATTATTGAGACTTTATAAAAAGAATTATTTTATTCATTTATTTTATTTATTCAGTGTAATTTGACCAGAGATGGACAGAGTGAGAGACAGAGAGGGAAAGTGAGAAAGCCTTCAAGTCCCAACTCGAACCATGGTCAACCATGTAAGAGTCCAGGGCCCTTAACCACTATGCCACCTGCCGGCCCCATTAGTTTTTTGAAAAGTAACACGCATACATCTTTTTGCCAAAAACACTGATGTCATTTTTTATATACTGGCGGTATTAGTAAATGGAATCATTGTGATTATCTTGGCACTGCTGTTACCGCTGCTTTCACCGACCTACTTCTGCTGAGATTCTTGATAGAAGTTATTGCTTATGTCAAGAATCACTGATTTCAAAAGTATATTTTAAAACAATAAGCATCTATCAATAAGTCAGACCAACTAACATTGTGAAAAACAACAACAACGAAAACGAAACTGGAGAATAACAAGCGTTGGTGAAAATGTGGAGAGCCTGGAACCCTCCATGTTGGTGGCAGGGGTAAAATGATGCAGCTGCTATGGAAAAGTTTGGCAGATCCTCCAAAAGCTAAACATAGAATTACCATATGACTCAGCAATCCCATTGCTAGGAATGTGCCCAAAAGAATTTAAATCAGGAACTCATCAGATACTGCAGGTGCATTATTTACAATAGCCAAAAGGGAGAAACAGCCTAAGGCTGTTGACAGGTGAATGGGTAAACAAAATATTACCCGTATAATGGAATACTACTGGGTCACAAGGAGTGGAGTTCTGACACGGCGATTATACTGTCTGAATAAGCCTTGAGGACATTATGCCCAGTGACATAAGCTGGTCACAGAGGGAAAGCATAGTATGATTCCGTTTATATGCGATACCTAAACCCGGCAAATTGAGAGAAAGTATTGATTGATTAGAGACCATCAGGGGCTGGGGGAAGAGATGGGACGTGACTGGGCTACAGCATTTGTTTGAGATGACAGAGAAGTTCTGGAAATAATGGTGATGGTTTTACACCATTGGGAATGTAAGTAATGCCAGGGAACTGCACATTTAAAAATGGCAAGTTTCAGGACCAGCAGATGGCACAATGGTTACGTTCCTGGACTCTCGCATAGCGGACTGCGGTTCAAGTCTCAGACCTGGCAGCCTGAACTCAGGCCGGTGTATGCATGGGAGTGCCAAAGATCCAGGAGGACAAGGGATTGCAGGGTGGCCATCCTCGCCTACGGGTGATCTCTGGTTTTCTGTCTTTCTGATGAGCGCATGCACCCTGTAACAAAAATCTCTAAAAAAATGGCAAGTTTCATGTTATATATGTCACCACAACCGATGTTTAGATCATGGAGCAAAGGCTTGTCATACAGAAATGGCACGCGATTTCACACTGCCTCACAGGACTGTAATGCTGTGAGAGCACAAAAGTGTTCCTACTCTCCAGCGAGCGTTACCGAAGTTTGTGATGTTCCTCACAGCGTCATTTGTAAGCAGCCCAGCCACCAAGGATAGTGAAGCAGTTACACAAGTGATGGCAATCCACTTTACGGATACGCTGTTGTTAAAACGGAAGTCGTAACAAGGTCGCCGCTGATGACAGAGAAGCAAATGGAAAGGAAGCCTTGCACGTTGTGACCGAAGGCCCCTAGGTGACGGTAACAGGTGAGGGCTGGCTACTGAGACGTCGGAGCCCCTTTCCTTTCTCCACTCATTCTGACATGTGATCCGGGGTCGGAGCTCGCGCGCGGGGCTCGGGCACCAGCCCCGTCCCTGCGGAGGCCCGCTGCCCTGCCGGGCGAAGAGCTGGCCAGCGTGCACGCCTGCAGGCAGACCC